TCCCAGAGTCAAACCTTGAGTCAATTAAATGTGGTTGTAACTTTTGAGTTTGTGGATGAATCCCTAGTGTGTGACCCTTCAAATGAAAGCTATTGAGTAGTACTTTTATGTGGTACTGTTTGTTTTTGACAATTTTGCAAATGAATTCAAGATTTATTCCTCGGTTTTGAACTTAGCACTCTTGGGGGTGAAAGGGTTATGGTTAATATCTGGAATCCTGAACTACATGTGGCAATCACACCTATAAATATACATCAGAAAAAATTCAGCTGCTTCCTAAAAATATGTACAATATTATATCTTTATTCTGTTTGTTACACTCTTTCGTATAAAGGTTCTGTTTTTAAGCCAAACACTTCATAGTCTTTTACTATAAAATTGTAGTCTCCCATAAGTAGGCTGCAAGAGGCCTGGGGACCATCGTAGGAGTGAGGTAAGTTAGAGTAGGACTCAGGCCTCTCGTGACACTCATCACTGATACAAAGATCTGCCCCAGCACCAAACATGGGACCATACCTGCAAGAAAGAAAATTCATGGTGAGATTTCAGGGGAGGGGAAGGGGGACAGGGGGTCTGAACTCCCTGCTTCCCGTATCTTGTACCCCAGGTTCCCACCCTTCTTAGTGGCTCCTTCCTCCATTACTCCTGGTTCCTGCCTCATTGAGAATCCTGCTTCCCTCCCTCTTTTCCTGCCTACTGTACACTTCTGACCCCTTTACTACCCAGGTTACCACCCCCTGTCCAGAACCCCCCACAATATAATGGGTGGGGTAGGGGGCGGGAACTCAACGGGAGGCGGGAGAAGAGAAAGCAGGAAGTGGGATTCCCAAGTTGGCTGGAACCGAGAGAAATAGGAAAAAATATCACAACATTATGTAATATTTTGCAATAGAAAAAGCACAAAGAGGCGGAAACCACAACAGAAGGGGCAGGAATCGGGAGTACAAGGTATGGGAAGCGGGAAGTTCAGATCCCCCTGTCCCCCCCCCCCCCCACATGTTAAATCTGGGAAGAGTTAAAAAGCACTCAATGTAAGGAGGCAGTTACAAGGGAGACTCCATGATCAAACAAAACAGCGAGCATTAATTTAGAGGGCCTCCTAGACTGCAAGGAACTCTTTGGTATAAAATAAGAGTGACAAAACTGCTGAGATGACTGTATATTATTGTACAGATCCATAAACATCCTTGATCTAAACAAAATAAGCTTAAAATGTAACATCAATAAATATTCTTTTTGCCCCAAATAATATCTAAAAGCATGAAAACTATTAAATTGGTATCAATACCGTAAAAGCTCTATTTAGTCCCCCTCTCTATTAAGCCCCCCCCCCCTATCTAATAAGCACCCCCTTTGGAAGTCAGATTTTGTAATAAGCCCCCTCTCTATTAAGCCCCCCCCCCCCCCCCCCTGACGGAGGGCCGTCAGGCTGATGTAAATGACTTTTCACCAATATTTTCTGGCATTTCAGTCACTTTGTATTGGTCTTTAATTTCCAGAACTATCGTCGAGTTAGGGTATAAATGACATTTCCTTTGTAAGACAATCATACATAACCCATTTCTTGTTCTGTTTTAGTTAGTGGTGTAATAGTAAAGTTTGAAAAATTAATGTGAATTTTCTTGAAAATTTATGATTTGAAATAAGCCCTCCCTCTCTAATAAGCCCCCCCCCCCCCCACCCCCCTTCTTGAGGCCCGAAATTAAATAAGCCCCCGGGGGCTTAATAGAGCTTTTACGGTATGACAAAGTGAGTAACCCAAAGTATAGTAATAATTTGTTTGTTATGGCTCATTGGTATCCATGGAAACAAACCTTGGATGATGAAGAGTGGCATACTTAGGATGTGTTACATCAAACTTTCTCGGAGGGACTCCTTCAGAGTTCATCAATGTAAACAGGAAAGCTCTATCAAGGATTTAATTAAACAGAGTCAATATAAGCTCAAGGAAACTCAGGTTTTAATTTAACATGGCATTACCCAGGGGGGACTCCCATATAAAAGTGACGGGGGTGATTGTTGTACCTTTTAGGGGTTAAAATTTGTAGCTTGGTACTACTAAGGTGTTCAAATAAAAAAATGACCACGTTTCCAGAATAGAAGTATATTAAGTCGCGGCGCAGGGCTGCAAATAATTTTTTTTCTTGTTAGGACATGTGTCTGACTAGGTCACCATTTTGGTCGGACAAAACAAAAATGAGGTCGGGCATCATATTTCAGTACTGCTTGATAAGCGAACCTGCTAATTTAGCGCGTTGTCATCGCAGAGTAAACTACATGTAGTTTGCGTTTGGAATGAAACTCGTTAGCGTTTGCATTGGAAGGCAAAAAAAAATTTTCCGGCCATGAGTGTCCGACCAAAGTTGGTCTGCCACTGTTCAATGACCGACTGTTATTTGCAGCCCTACAAGCGCGAAGGAATTTTATCACTTGCAGTGCGCCAAATTTACAGTCCTGATCAGGATGAATTTTCTTCCTTTTGTGTTGTCCGATCAGAAATGGCATAATATTTAAGTGCACGTCAATCAAGCCAGATCAGGAACTGACTTGTCATAATAATAATAATATTATAATATATTCAATTGGTACCTCTTAGGGGTGAAAAATGACAGTGAGCCATGCCCACAAAACAAGATTGAAAGGGTTTTTTGAAGCTTTGTAGAGCAGCTAAGTGAACGAACGAACGAACGAACGACGAGCGAGCGAGCGAGCGAGCGAGCGAACGAACGACGAACGAACGAACGAACGAACGAACGAACGAACGAACGAACGAACGAACGAACGAACGAACGAACGAACGAACGAACGAACGAACGAACGAACGAACGAACGAACGAACGAACGAACGAACGAACGAACGAACGAACGAACGAACGAACGAACGAACGAACGAACGAACGAACGAACGAACGAACGAACGAACGAACGAAACGAACGAACGAACGAACGAACGAATGAATGTAGAGGTGGCTGTTTAGGGAGCTTTCAACAAGAGTAAACAAATCCTGTATTAATATTATTTGCATTCCCTAGTAGTTTCCTATCATCAGGATGAAAAGCTACTTGAATGCAGCACTTAACCAGGATTATTGATAATTTGATTAACAAATTACTTTTGCTGTTTACTGATGCATGCAGGGCTTCACCTTTTGGAAATTTCACAGAGCAAGCTTGGGAGATATTTAGAAATTAAGCTGATTGGCAAATTTACGTTAATAATACCGTAATTTTATATTCCCACCTATTGGATGGCATATATTTTCCACGAGGAATATCACTCCGCCAAGGTTGATCACTGAATCCACCACACAAATTACCATTTGAACCCTGAAATTTATATATATTTGAGAATGACAGAATATTAAAAACTAAGTCCTCTAAATTCTTGTCTTTTGTCTTGTCACAACCAAGGCAGGCTGCTTCATCAGATAGTACCCCATACCCATGATACGATATGGGGTGGTACAGATCATATACTGGCCAAATGGTTAACATGTTGCACTGTCTCCAGATTGAGTGGTACCGGCTTCCAGCACTGGCTGGGGTCATTGTGCTGTGTGCCATTTTTCAGTCATGTTACTGTATATAAACTCTCTATAAGTGGACACCTCTCTAAGATGGACAGTTTGTGCCGGTCCCGATGGTGTCTGTGTTAGAGAGAGTTCACTGTACTGCTATTAAACTACTAGTTGCTCCATGCTACAGAAACCGGGATAAGCTCCAGCAGTGTGGGCCACTTTGGTCCATGCATGTACGGCAGTTGCACCTTATAATATAATTAACCCTTTCCCAAAAGTGCTAAGTTCAAAACTGAGGGGAAAATCTTGAATTTCATTTTGTAATTTAACTGTCTTGAAAGTACTGCTCAATAGCTTTCATTTGAATGGTCACACACTATACCTGCCAACTCTCACGCCTTGGGCGTGAGTCTCACGCCTGCGGGTCGAAAACTTCAATCTCACGCCAGCTCACGCCTACTGAACAATTTCTCACGCCTGGCTGAAAAATTGGAGCTATTACAGGCTGTAACTGACACACTTTCGAAAAATATGTAAACTTGAACCAATACAAGGAAACATAGTCCTATAAATAAATGCTATATGTCGTGAATGAATCCTCCAAACTATGTATGAACATATTGTGAGACTGTACACAAACTCTTCGGGAATGTTCGGAAATTGTCGAATCCAGGTACTCTGAAGACAAAAATCTCACGCATTTGACTCGGGAAAAGTTGGCAGGTATAACACACTAGGTTTTCATCCACAGACATAAAAAAGGTACAACCATATTTACTGACTCAAGGTTTGACTCTGGGAGTGAAGGGTTAAACTGGGGGGTTAATACTTACCAGAACAACCGTTAAGGTTGGTGAATGTCCATCACATTTTGTATGAAATGCTGCAGCCGAGAATCCATCTTTTGAAGCTTTGTAGAGCAGCTGCCACTCTTGTTGTTCATTTCCAAACCAAACATTCAGCGTAGTTTGAAACTTGAGGCATTCTTTTGTCAGCAGACTTGTGCTGTGAAACAACTTTTGAGAAGCTCTGGGTCTTAGACGAGGATCTTCAGCTTTTCTGAAATGACTGGGAACTGCTGCAAATCGATACCTATAAAAAGAAGATTTAGTTTACTTAAATGACATAATTATATATCATGGATCTTTATTAGCTGAATAGCTAATATCTTCAACAGACGGACAACACATGTTGGTGAGGGGTGAAACCCCGAGTCAGCTATCAAAGTCGATAGAAACCGAGAGAGAGCAGTCCTAATAATTGTTTTAGCATAACCAGTTTCATATAGAATTACAGGCCTAACCACGACACCAGGAATTCCGTGCCCTACTCTTTTCAAACAGTGTCATGGGTTATTTTATGTCCCTTCGAATTGGCATGTATACAGCATGAAAGGAGACTATGCCAATGGTTTTGCGTGACACCACCCAATGACGTGATCATCTGAACTGATCTTACCAGTTATTTTAAGACCCTGGTTTGTGGTCCGGCTGGGACTCGAACCCGCAACCTCCCGCTCTGCAGTCCGGCACTCTACCAACTGAGCTAAGCAGGTGGCAGTTAGACCAGTATTGAATTTGTCTATGGCCTGATGTGCAACTTGATATATATGATAATGATGATAATGACCCTTACCTCTCTAAAGACACCTCCATTGGGACAACTCCAGTAGGTTCCACTTCTTCGGCATACACAGTACTGTCAATCAACAGTAATTTGATGTGCTCTATAATTCCTGACAGCTCCTAATCATGAAGAAAAGTAAGAACAATTTCAACTTATCTCCTTTATGGACTTGTAACCATGACATTTTCAATGTTTCTTGAGCAAGTTTTTCTCACTCTCATTTTACTGCCAACTACTTTCACGCACCCTGAACTCTTGTGTGCTCTCATTGAATTTGAACCTTGCTAAATATTCCTGAGAGTTGACGAGACTTTTTGGTCATTTGAAGGGAAGATTATTTCAACTCTTACATGCTCATGAATACACTGATGATAGTCAACGACAGTTGAAGAAAACTCTTGTACAACCCTCACCTTTTAACTCTTGTTCATATTTTGATCCAGCCTATATGATCATAAAATTATTGTGTTGTTCTTGAAAATATCCATACCCCTGCCACAGAAGGTTTTTGGTTTGGAATCTCCAATGACCTTCCTCGGGGTGGGGATATTTTCTGAATATTATGGATATTTTCTCGAACCACACATTTTTACCCTGACAAATGCTTATTATAAATACACTTGATTTGAATGTCTTACTTCTCTTATCTTCTCGTTATCCTCCTCTGTCCACTGATTGGTTGGTTTGTGGACACCAGAACCCCTTTTTGCCCATAACAAGACAGCTCGCCAAAGCTCCTCCTCAGAAACTGCAAACTGTATCCAGGATGAAACGGTTAAGTAAAGTCCTCTATCCCAAACCAAGGATCAGAGGAGCATGAAATAACTTGGAGTATTGCTATTGGACAGTACTCCCCCTGGGTGGAATACTAGTCCACTGTAGGGTATCCCCAGCATTTTTGTCAATTTGCCCTAACAGTTCACTGGTACTCATTTATGCTCCTGGATGATATAGAGAGAGGCACTGTGAGAGTAAAGTGTCTTGCCCAAGACCACAACACAATGATCACGGCCAGCGCTCAAACCTGGACTATGAAGGCTTTTTACGGACAAAATATCGAACGTGCATACATCGATGTTGTGTGCAATAAATACAACTAAAAGATGTTCGATACAACTAAAAGATGTTTGATAAAACTAAAAGATGTTTAATAAAACTAAAAGATGTTCGATAAAACTAAAAGATGTTCGATACAACTAAAAGATGATCGATAAAACTAAAAGATGATCGATACAACTAAAAGAGGAGGAAGCGGAAATGATTGCGATTTCATATTGTACCCAGGTTCCTCGCAATCCAACGTAAAAAATTAACGGTGAGACAGTGGAACGGGGACTTGGGGACGGGGACGCTGGGACTCGTGTTTGGAGACGTGACGCGGAGATGCGTGGGGACGTGGGATCGGGGATGCGGGAGCGCGAAGACGTGGGAAAAAGGAAGAACGATTTTCTGCGCTTACATGTAATGAAGGTTAAAATACAATGTGCGGAAAAACAACAAAGGTACGACAGTTTCTTATGAAAACACGACCCCGATACCCACGCATTTTATTGAAAAGGCGCTTAGGCTAATACTACAATATAATTTATTCCAGTTCACTGGAAAATACTACCTCCAAACACATGGAACCGTCATGGGCACGAAAATGGCGGTCGCTTTGCCAACATTTTTATGGGCAAAATTTCCGAAAAATTGAAACAGAAATCGTTAGCTAAAGCGCATTCAAACCACTCGTTTGGAAGCGATCAGTATCGACGACATATTCCCCCTCTGGGATGTCAGTAGAGAGGAGATAACACAGTTCATTGAACATGCAAACAATCAAAATCCTACTATCAAGGTTACGGCTGAAATTTTTGAAAAATAAACTACATTCCTGGATACCAGCGTTTTAAAGGCGAAATATTAAAAAATGAATCAGTGCTTGATGTACGCACGCACATAAAGCCTACTGATACATTTCAATACACACATTTCTCTTGTGTCACCCACCAGGAGTTACGATAGGTTTCATCAAAGGAGAGGCCCTCAGACCGTCTGAGAACAAACATCGAAAACAACATTTGAAGATAAAATCAAACACTTCAAAACACGCCTATTTCGAGATATAGGATATCCAGAAAATCTAGTCCAAAATACTCTTTCAGAAGTGAGATTTGAAGATAGACAACAAGCCCTCCGGCAGAAACCTATAGAAAACAAACGAATCTTGCCTTTTGTCAAACCAACCATTGATCAGAGAAATATATAGGGAACCTCGATCCTCTAATATCATACTAAAGAGGTAGGTCTCCAGATATACAAGTAAAATCCAGAGCTAAGCTCTAAAAATGTTGTTTTAATGACTTCAAAAAAACTCATCAATATCCATATTTTTATCCTCCCCCGATCTCACGTCTCTACGCATCCCCGCGTCCCGAACGCGAAACATGCGTCCCAACGTCCCCGTCCCCAAGTCCCCGTCCCACTGTCACAGCCTCTTTTTGTGTTGGATTGCGAGGAACCTGGGTACAATATGAAATCGCAATCATTTCCGCTTCCTCATCTTTTAGTTGTATCGATCATCTTTTAGTTTTATCGATCATCTTTTAGTTGTATCGATCATCTTTTAGTTGTGTCGAACATCTTTTAGTTTTATTGAACATCTTTTAGTTTTATTAAACATCTTTTAGTTGTATCAAACATCTTTTAGTTGTATTTATTGCACACAACATTGATGTGTGCACGTTCGATATTTTGTCCGTAAAAAGCCTTCATACTGGACTGCTCGATCCAGAGTCCAGCATTCTAACCATTAGGCAATCATGCCTTCCTAGAAAGAGAAGGTAAAATCTTATAAACAGATCTCAGGGGTTTAAAGGCAAGGTGTCAATGAGGATTGCAACGGGTCAATAGATATTATGCACCTCACTAAATCGTCAGAAGTCAGGGCCGTAGCTAGCGGGGGGGGCAAGGGGGGCAGTTGCCCCCCCCAAGAATGGGTAATGCTTTCTGAAAAACGAAAACTGCGTATGTTTTTTTCGCGTTCAAACAGCCGCCTTCTTGATAAAAATATATGCCGAGGGTCTTTCAAAAACAAGATTGAACATTTCAAAGGCTTGGTACTCTCCCCAGATTTTGCTCGGCATATTAAATCAAGATGATGGGGAACGAAGAGGCGAGAACTTCTTACTTCTTAGGTAACTAAGTAAGTAGTTATATTTTGACTGTCCGGTACCATACTAACTTGAACATTTACGATTGATTGAGAAATATATTTTGGAGCGGAAATCCAACTGGAGACATCTTTTGCACACGAAATAGACTAATAAAATGTTTAGTGTACTAAGGCCGATATACGGTATGTATCAAGTTAACAAAACCTTGGAAATATTGCTGTAAGCACTAAAAATACCTGTCATTTTACACTTGATCGAGATTGATTTTTTGACAAAATATCTCATGGAGAATGCTGAAAATAACATTTCCGAGCCTCTAGATTTCAAAATTTTCTGAGGGTGCATGCCCCAGACCCCCCTAGCGGCTCGCGCCTTGTCACTCGCTTCATTGTCCCCCCATTCAAAAAATTCTAGCTACGGCCCTGGAAGTTTATTGGTTAATTTGTCAGGTCGGGTCACTGGTAGCCGACATTAGAGAGTTTTAGATCCACGTTTGGTTAGTTAACCGCAAACCTCAAACTGCGGGTAGCAGTTTGCTGTTAGAAGTTAGAAGTTTAAGATATACCTGAAAATATGCAGAAAAACGCACAGGGAATTGAATTACGTGAAACTCCTTTTCACGCAGCTGAAACGTGAACGGCAAACGTGACCTCAGGAGTCTGGTCACGTGACGCCTAGAGGTTTGCGGTCAGAAGTATAAAAAAACAAACCTCGATCTAAAACTCTCTATTGTCGGGTTTTTGACCTGAGACTCCTCTCTTATCTCAATCTGGAACACTGGATCTAAGTGTTACCTGATCACTTGATACAAGTCTGATCATCGCTGGTTTAGGAAGGAGAAGGAATCCTTCAGTTTGTACAACTTCCTCAGCATTTTCCTCCATAAATCCAATGCACTTTTCCACCAAAGAAGACATGCCTCCAGTACTGACTCCTCTTGACAGAGACATAGCATCTGCTAGAAACTCTGCCGCATTTTCTGTGCTCAGATTGTCCATGAAATACTGCTCACAAGCTAACTGTAAATCTGTTATTTCTAGGTCCTCTGCAATCCTCAGCATCTCAAATGCTGTGCGACTATGAAGTTCGACCTAATACAAAATAATTTGTCAAAAATTTGCCATACCCAATTACATACCATAACTAGGTACCTATACAGCCGTTTTAAGGGTTACGTTGTCACTCACTCCTCCCCAACAGTGGGGAGGAGTGCGTGATGACCCAAATAACGGCTGTGTAGGAGACTAATTAATCCCTTACTTATATTTTTATCTACATTTAAGTCTTAGTCAGACTGTTACAAAAAGGTTACAAAAATATTTGGCCTGGATTTAATACTGACAATAATAATAATAATACAGGCTTACATACCTCAGTCTCCTAGTCCTGGCCACACAGCAACAAGTTATAACTTTGCATAAGTGGACACCTCTCCTAAACCAGCATTTGAATGTGGTCCCAAGGGACATGCTACTTATTATATACCTGCCAACTTTTCCTAAGTCGAATGCGTGTGATTTTCGTATCCATATTACCCGAATTTTAGAAACATTTCCGACAACTTCCGAACACTGCCGAAGATGTTCCGGCGACTTCCGAACATTGCCGAAGATTCCTGAAGATGTTCCGATGATTTCCAAAGGCTGCCGAATGTCGCGGTGCGAAGCTCAAAATCTCGGCGCGATCTTGCCAAGATCACGCTTATCTCTAGCGTCGTTCATTGGACTCTTATGGGTGGAAACTGAATCCAATTTTTCACGTTAATGG